GGGTGCGGGGGGGGGGCGGGGTGCCGGGTCGGGGGGGAGGCGGCCCGTCGCAGAGGGCCGAGCCGGCGGGGGCCCGGGGTGCCCGGGGTGAGGGTCAGGGAAGGGCAGTGGGGAGCAGGTGCGCCCCGGAGGTGGCCTTCCCTGTGGACTCAGGTCCTCCTGTGCAGCGTTTCAGGGAACTTGATGGAACCCCCGCCCCGTTCCCTGAGACAGGCTACCTGAAACCGCGGGCCGAAGAGGAGAGAAGGGTGGCAGCGGAAGAGAAAAAGAGGCAGGACGAGCTGAAGCGGATTGCCCGAGAACTGGCAGAAGGTACGCGCGTCACTGGCTCTTCCAGACGGTTCCCTCCCACAAACGGCTGCCGTCCAGTGAGCCCCTTCGTGGAGGGAGGGCCACCTCTCCTCACCCGGCCCTGGCCCAGTGTGGAGACGAGTGCCTGGGCCCCCTCCTTGTGGGGGTGGGGGCATGGTGACAGTTTGCCTTTGGTGAGGCCTTGGCTGGCAACGTGGCTGTACCACTCTCAGGGAGGCCACAGGCAGCCCCCTTCTCCCACTGACTGTCTCAGAATGTGCAGGGTAAGGAACACCGAGGACAGCTTCAGTAGAGCATAGTCAGGTTCCATTGGGATAGGCGCTGGATTGTTTCAAAACCAAACATGTGAAGTGCTCCTGGGGGGCTGGCCGAGAGTGTAATGTGTGTGTGTTTTTTTTCTGACTTTTCAGCTCAAGATGACAGCATATTAAAGTGAGAGGCCCACGTGAGCTGCGTTTCTCCAGAGCAGTAGAGGATGAATAAAGCTTTTTGTGTTGTGTGATTCTCTGGCTCCCTCTTGTCTACTGTCACCTGTTGTCTGGTTCCTGGACTCAAGCTCAGCCTTGTATTCTGTCCATCCTCTCCAGTTCACGGGGCCAGGGGAAGAGTGCGTTTCAGAAGAAGGGATTAGCATCGCCAGTCACAGGACGCAGCATGCAGACACATCAGGAGGTGCAGAGCCCACCTCTGCTCTCTGAGGCCTCCAGGTGGTGAGCCCCAAAGGACACCGTTTGTTATGGAGACAGCCAGCCCGGGGCATTGTGGGTGCCGTTTGGTCTTCTCTGCTGATGTCAGAAGCCCAGCCCCCTGGACAGGCAGGGGTGGGCATTGGAGAGGGTGGAGGTAGATGCCCTTACAGTTGCGAGGCTAGATCCTCTGTCCCCCAACTCACGAATCTCCTCCTGACCCTAGAAGGTGGCCAGGTTGGACTGGAGACTGAAGCCCTGGGGCGAGGCCTCCTGAGCACAAGGCTGGGCCTCCGGTGCCTGAGCAGGTGTCCTTCCCCAGCCCAGCTTCTGGGACTTCTCACGGCCTGGTGGTGTGGGGGTGATGTTGCAACTTTCCAGCTATGTGCTGTCAGTAAATCTCTTAGGCTTCAAGCCCCTATTTCTTTTGTAAAATGAGTTCATTTGCAAGTGTGAGAAATGAGGAACAGCACAGAGCATCTCAGTGCTCTGCCTTTGGTTAAGGGGAGGCCTGAGTGAGCAAGAGGGTGGGGTGGGGTTACCTCCCACGGGCTCCCTGCGGTGGCCTCCCAGCTGGCGTAACAGTGCCTGGGTCCTTCCTGTATTTGGTGGGATGGTGTCAGACGGGTTGGCTGTTGCTAGGTCCTCCTGGGAACCTGGACAAGCCTTAGCCCTAGTCACAGGCTCTTGCCACCAGAGGTTGCTGACTGGTGAGGGGAAGATTAAACCAGCTCCTTCCTGCAGGTGGAGGGCTGTGTTGGGCATGTCCGTCCCCCTCCCCCATCTAGTCAAGTGTCATCCAGTGTCAGGAGCAGATGTGTTGGAGCTCACATCACGAGTTAACTTCTACCAGATAGCTCCCATGGCAAACGTTGAGTCCTGTGAAGTCCCGTTGGACTCGTTGCCTCTGCCCTCTGCTCTAGGTGTGTCAATGCTAAGTCACAGGAGGCTCACAGCTGCCGCTGTACGGAAAGCTCCCCGTGCAGAGACCTGGGCGGGCACAAGGTGTTGCCTCGGGCCACCAGCCCTCCTGCTTGGTGTGGCTCAGAGCCACTGCATGCAGCGCTTGCTACGGATCATGTGGGGCCGAGTGCCACTCTCCTGGCTTGACCTCTCTGGCAGGATTTTCTGGTGGGCCAAATACAAGGTGCCGTGTACTGTAATTGCAGTACATAAAAATGGGCCAGTTGTTTTCTCTTAATTTTATTATGAGTTTCTGGGCATATGTTTTTTTCCTAAATCGGATCAGAACAGGCATCCCTGTACCTGTCTACCCATATCCACATATGTACATGTGCAGTTGCCATCACACCCTCTCGGTGAGCTCAGACACGTTTACAGACCCTTTCCAAAGATCTGCTGGTAACTATCCAAAAAATGGATGAGTAATGAATGAGGGTACTTCAAAAAGATCGTGGAAAAATAGAGTCGAAAGACAATACAAATCTTTCCATGAACTTTTTGAAGTGCTCTCGTAAGCTTCGCTGTTGAAATTATTCATAGTTGGCTTTATTTTATAAAAACACAAACCTTAAAAAATACTCAAAATATCCAAAATTATCTTCAGTCATTTTCTCAGGCTTCCTAACTTCTTGTTCCAAACTGCCAGAAGCAGAACCTGAGTCTTGGAGAGTGAGCGGGGAGAGGGGCCACCTGGTCCCCACGGCAGCGGTGCTCACAGGATGCAGCAGGTCGAGGACTTGGGTGCTGGGCCACCGTTGCAGATTTCTGTGCCCACTGCAGGAGAAGACAGGATGTGAGAGAGCCGCGCAGACACCAGCCTGCTCCTTCTGTTCGGTGTGCCCTCTACCAGCCCCCGCAGGGAAAGGACACAGCAGGGGTCTGGCCAGCCCGAGCCGATGAGCTGATTAGCCCGGGCTTGGCCTTTGTGCATTAGCCCTTGTCGACGCCGTGCCCAGGCTACTTGCTCCCAGCCGCCCACGCCTGGTGGTGTTGGATACGTTGGTCTCCTGCCCCGCAGCTTGCGGGGTGGGCGTAACAGCAAAGCCCAGAGCTCAGGCAGCCGGGCACAGACAGACACCAAGGCCACAGAGCCTCGGGGATTCTTTTTTTTTTTTTTTCCTTTTTGTCTTTTTTCATGACCGGCAACCCTCGGTGTCGCGCCCGCACCGCGCTCAACCAGTGAGCGGACCGGTCTCTATATGGGATCCGAACCCTCGGCGCTCCTGCGCCACCGGGCCGGCCCAAGCCTCAGGGATTCTAATGGGGGTGCTGAAGGGTCACTTTCCCGCAGTGTAGGGCAGAGAGGTGAGCAAATGCCCTGATGGCAGACAGGACTTACTGTCTGTCTTAGCTCACTTTTTTTAGGTTACGTTTGCTGTTTTGTTTCTGACAGTGGCCTGGGACAGCACAGGTAGGTTCTCGGAGCTGCCGAGAGCTGAGTGAGCCGTTTAGAGGAGAGGAGAGCTGGCTCGGGGCGAGAGGAAAGCCTTGTAGTCTGGGTTTGTTAACGGGATGGCGTTGGCGGTGTCGTCTCTGGGGGATGGGACGTCCCCGCGGCTCCTGTAGTGAGGGGCCTGGGGTTGTCTGAGACCCGCTCTGCCTCATCCCCACACCTGACTGCTGGGCGATCTTGCCGCGTTGCACTCTGACTTGGGAGAGGAACCGAGCCCCCACCCCAGTCGCGAGCCGCGGACCTTTCTTGGCCACCGCCCGGTCCTCCTGCTGCTTGTCCTCCAGGGCCTTCACTCTGGCCTCGTACTCGTCAGCCAGGGCCTTCCACTCCTTCCTGTTGTTCTGCAGGCGGTCAAACATGGGCAGGATCTCATCGTGGAAGCGGGAAAACTCCTGGAGGGAACGGAGAAGTCACCAGGCCCTCCAGACCCCCTGAGGGCGGGCACGTGGCTTCCCGAGCCCACCCCGCAGACCCCAGCTCGTGTCCTCTCCCAGCTGCCTTGCTTATCCACCAGGAGAATCCGCCTGGTGGGAGGAGGGAGGACCACGCAAGATGTCACCGTCCCAGCAAAGCCCTAAAATGGGGAAGGGCTTGGTGTTGTGTTAATGGAGTTAGAAGGGGGATTTTGGGGGTGGGAATGCTCGCGATGCAGATGACAGTCTTAGCAGGGAGGAGCTCTCAGGATAGAGGAGAGAATGTCACCTGCAGTGGGGACCAGAGCAGGGTGGAGGGTGTCCCCTGGCGGGGACACGGACAAACAGGCAGGCTCTTCTGCCTCTCGCGCGCACGCACACATGACACGTGCACATATCACATGTTCACACCCACAGAGTGTGGTGGAGTCGAGGAGGGCAGTGGGGGGCCCCATGTGGGGATGTGGCCTGTGGTCACGTCAGGACCCACCTTCTGGTCCCACCTTCCTGCCCAGCATGACAGTCTGGTGGGGTGGGCTGGGGCAGGGAGGACCTCATTTAGAACCAGACAACACGCTTTTTACCTGGGGACACACCAGCCTTGACAGGCAGACTCAAGTCCCCTCAAGGGTTCACAGGCACTGAACAAATGGGCCCGCAGGTAAGTTATGAACACGCAGGTGAGTTATGAACCCACAGGTAACTTACTGAACCTACATGTGAGTTATGAACTTGCGGGTAAGTTATGAACCCACAGGTAAGTTGCAGTCAGTCGCCTGAAGACAGAGTGTGCTGGTCAGGGGTGGGGGTAAGTGGAGGACATTCTGGGATGGGGAAGCCCTTGGTGTCCCCAAGGGATGGCTGCAGGTTTCATCTCGAGTCCAGGTGTGAGGAGGACAGCCACAGGCTGAGTGTGGGGGTGGGTGGGAACCGGACCTTCCTCCATGATCTGCTGTGCTTGAGATTGGGGTGGAGCCCACACAGTGTCCCTCCTGCTGTGAGGACACGGTGGGTCCCTGTGTGAGTCCACATGTGTCCAGCCCACACCCCCTTGCTCACCCTGGCTGCTCCGCCAGCCACACGCAACGCTTCCGAGCCACGCACCTTGTACACAAACGTGCAGACAAAGTCGATGAAGCCGACCTGCAGCTTGGGGAGCTCGGCTGCCTTGTTCCGGTCCATCATGGGCTGGTGGGGGAGGCAGAGGCCGGGGATGAGGGTGCTGTTTCCTCTGCCCGTGGACCTCACTCAGCCCCTGGCTCTGCAGCTCCAATGAGTGTGTTCACAGAGACAAAAAATGAGCTGAGCCCAAGAGTGAAGATGGAGCCTGGCCTGGGGGACCAAGCCTTCCTCGACAGACACTGCCCTTGGGTGCAAAGGGCCAAGCTCCCCCGCAGTCAGCTGTCAGGGGCTGGCTCCTTCCTACGTGCCCTGAGGCCCCAAGGCGCTGTGCTGGGGAGCAATGATTAGTCAGTTCAACCCCAGAGTCCCCTGCCAGCTGCTGGCCCTTGGCTCTGTGAACCCCGGCTCCGGCTCCCCAACTCTGTGGGCACTGTCCACGGTGCTGACCCAAGCCGTAGCTGCCTGCCCAGTCACTCAGCTGACCAGGACCTTGACCACGCACTTGCCACAGGCAGGTGCAGACGTGCTCCATGGAGCTGGCTCCTGTCACTCTCCTTCACAGTCACCCCCATCCCAGAGGTTTGCACGGCGAGGGTGAACCATGCAGGACCCTAGAGGCTGGCCTGGATGGGATGGACTCAGCAACCTGTCCTTCCCGCAGGTGACCTAGCTCACTGGGCACACCCCTTTCCTGCTGAGCCTGTACGTGGCTTCAACCCCTGCACCCCATGCTTAAAGCCGTTCACTGTGACTTGAGCTGGCTTTCGAGATGAAGCCTCTTTCCATTGTGTTCACATGTGGCTGGAGTGCCCTTCGTGGCCCTTGTCCCTGAGCAGCGACTCCTGACCCTGCACTGCTGGCCTGA